AAAAAAACCAGAAGAGAAAAGAACAGAGGAATTTCCTCACGCACACACCGCGGAAGGGACGCAGCTATTCCCCCTCTCCAGGCAGGCAGGGACGGGAGGAAGAGTCGCGGGCTGCACGGACCGCCAGCCGGGCTCAGCCCGGCACTCGCACCCGCACCCTCCCGCCGACCGCGCTCTCCCGCACGGGCACTCTCGCGCCCCTTCCCGCTCCTCGCACACACACCCCGGCTCGCTCTCCCTCATCGTCCCTCTCGCTCGAAGTCCCTCGCACACTCTTCCCCTCAGTCTGGCTCTCACACACTCTCTCTCGCTCTCTAACCTCTCCCCCCCTCCCGTCCGTCCCCAGCGGCCCCGGACCGCCGGCAACAAGAGCGGCGGGCGGGCAGCGCGCCGGCTTGCGGCGGCGCGGACGCGCTCGCAACCGGCACACACACGCACAATACACTCGCCAACATACAACTCACACACACACACGAACACACAAACACACATAACGTACGTATACATCACACACACAATGCCTGCCTGCTGGCCGCGGGCACCTACCAGGCGGGCGCCTCGGCCAGGTGCGTCCTTCTTCTTCCTATCTTGACATCTTTCATGTTTGCATCTTCATGGTGGTTCGGGGGGGGGCCGGGTAGGGCGGACCAGGAGGGGCGGGGGGGCGCGGCGCCCGGAGGGGTTCCGCACGGACAATGATACGGTTGACACGAGCTCAATGGATGCCCCCGCGGCGGGAGGGCGAAGAGAGTGAGGCAGAGGCGAGGAGGCGGAGGTGTGGGGGGAGGGCTCCCCGCGCGGCCGGCACAGCATGTGACAGCTTTGAGGGATGCTCCGCGCGCTCACAACAATGCCTCTGACGCTCACGCGGGGGGACCGCGCCCGCGCCCAACCATCCCCCCGCGGCGGCGGCGGCCGCCCCACCGCCCCAAGCGCGCGCCGCGGCCCCCGAAGCTTCCGCATGAGAGCGGCCGCGGGCCTGGGGGCGCGAGGCAGGAGAGGCGATGCGCGTGGGCCGTCCGCCGCCGCCGCGCTTAACAATCCCGTTTGGTGCACCGCGCCGGGCAGGCGCGGCGGCTCCCGAGGGACGCGGGCTGGGAGCGCCGGCCGGCGGCAGGGGGTGGTGGCGGTGCGGCCCATCCGCCCCTCACTGCCCTGCCCCCGACTCAGGCACGCCGCCGTACGTAACCAACACCCAGCCCGACAGGAGCGCCCGGCCCTTCCCGAGCGCGCACCTCCTTGCTGGCGCTTTACTTAACGGCTGGGGCAGCGTCGCCCCGGCGGTGCTTGCCCGTGCCCTCGTCGCTCCGTCTGGACCCGCTACCGAAACGTGCCGAACCAAACCCAGCCCCTGCCAGCTCGCAGCGATCGCGCGTTAGCGCCTCAGCTCCTTCCCTTGTCGGAACAGGAAAGAACATCTTGTTCCAGTGTGTAAACAAAGGGAGTTGATGTGCTGCGCTCGTAAAACCGCCGAAGGAGGTTTTCTTTAATTGGATGACCCAGGATTAAGATGCCCACGAAATGCGAAGCAGAGGGACTTGGCACACCTTCCTGAGTTGCAGGATATTGTGATGAGGGTTCCCCTCCCATCCCCGTTTATTCTTCTCGACCAGATATTAAAGTGCATTTGGTATATTATTGAAATACATTTGGTATTTTGTTTGGAGAGAAACGAGTTAGAAATTTTTCTGGGTTTTGTGTAGTCATCGATGCAGTGCTTGATCCCTCCTTAGTCCTTTTCTCAGCAGCACCCGTGTTCCGCCTTGCTGCGTTCCTTTGGTAACATTAAACCTTATTTTTCCACAAATACGCAGTTTGCTGGGGAGGGGGGGGGAATCATGCCCAGCTACGACAGTGCTCAACCTGTTCTATCAAGAAAAGGACCAGGGCAACCCTGGGAACCTTTAGGCCCCGAAGGAAGCAGAAGTGACATCCTGATAGCATTACCCAAACACTCTAAAAGAGCACTCAGATAGCCTGTGATGGTTTTGCTCTTCCTCATCATCCTTGTTTTAAGAGGAAATGATGCATGAAAGATAGTTCATGACCGTAACACCTTTCCAGATTTCAAAATTCACTCCCACTTAAAAATGTTAGCAAAATAAAATTATATTAAAACAACTGCTTCTAAATTTTGGGTTGATTCCAGGCTCTATAATATTGATCAGAGGATTTGAGTATGCCTCAGAAATGTTCTTGTGAAAAGTGTTGTTGCAACTGCAATGTTTCAGGTTCAACAATGAGGTGTAAAAATTTTACAATCATCCAGTTGTCGAAATAGCTACATATTCCTTTCTTATTTACTGAATGCCTTCTTTGTCACCTTAGTAACATTTAGAAAGGAAATGCTTGCTATTAATATCACTTCTTTGTCTATGTTTTGTTTCTTTGACTTTATTTTCAACCTTTTATGTGTCTTTTCTACTTCCATTTTTTCCCTTTGCGTTTGCTCACCTTTAGTAACTTTTTATTCCAAACCATACAGGTTTTATTCACATCTCATCCCCCATGCTAAAATCCTAAGTATGTAAGAATTAAGTACCTCATTGAAACTGCTTTTGAAATACTCCTGTTGTTTTAAGTATTGAAGCTATGACAAAATAAAAAAGCTCAGGCAGGTTTATCAGTCACTCCCATCGTAACTGGCTGTTATAAGTCTTAAATAAATATTCTGCGTTACTTCCCATCTATTCTTGGGTAGCTGCTTCACGTACGTAACATGAACTTCTATTACTCATGAGACCTCTGGTGTTGCAGGGTTGGTGTTGGACAGAGGAGGACATTTGTCAGGAAAAATAAGTTCAATGAACTCCTAAAGCTAATCTGACTTTGTGGATTTTTTGTTTGATTCAGTTGGTTTGTACTATTGCTTGTTGCAGTCAGGATTAGACTTTCATTTGGTATTTCTATGGACAACTGGAATAATATTTTTAGTATTACATCCTTTCAATTCAACTGGTGAATAAACAAGGCCAGTGTTGTGCTGTCATTTATTTTATTTACATTGTTCCTACACAGTCCACGTGCTTGTAAGTTCATAGAGTTGTACAATTGTTTGGGTTGGAAGGACCCTTAAAGATGACCTAACTCCAACCCCCCTGCCATGGGCAGAGACACCTCCCACTAGACCAGGTTGCTCAGAGCCCCATTCAAGCATACACAGAAACCAAGTGCCTCAACAGAACAGTTCAGTTCTGCTTTGAGGGAATTAAAAATTATATGTAAGTCTAGAAGCACAGCAGAAAAAGGTCAAGTTCATCTTCTGGAAGAAAGCATTTCCTTTTGATTATAGATAGTATTTACTGCATGAATTGGACACTACAGGAGATCGTGACTGTTGCTTCTCTAACTGAATCAGCAATACGAAAATTGAGAAATGGTGAACTGCCTTCAAACTGCAGCCATTGGAACTATGGCTAAAAGCTCAGTATATGTAGCACATATAAATGTATATGTGTGTGTGTGTAAATATTTACAGCACATTGTAAACCAGATTGGATAACCTGCAAATACTGCAGAAAGATGTTACATTAAAATATATAATGAATTTTTACCTAACCAATATTTATGTGATGTTACAGTGCCAGATGTTACTTTTTGACCACAGATGGAAGCAGTTATTTATTATGGATGCATTTGAGTTCAGTTACTTGTGTCAGTAGAACCGTCATATGATACTAAAATAACATCGGAGGCTGGTTTCTGAGCTGCAGTACCCAGTGAATGCATTTACCTGAAATGTTATAGAAGTTTGAGGCTTGACATCATCTAGTGAGCTACCTGAAGAACACTGTTCTTGTTGTTCCGTGCATAGAAAAATTACTTTCGATAAGTACTGTTGATTTTTATTTTTGTGTATAGTAATACTCCTTTTCATACAAATCTGTGAACTCGACTACTTATGCAAGTATATATATATGCATAAAAATATGCATTGCTTCAATACAATGAAACACTGCTGTAATGCAAATTCCAGTTTCAGCTCTTACAAAAGAAGTAGTATCAGCTGGTACATGGAAATGCCATATGTGTGCAGAATGATTTATTCACAGCATGGCAATTCAATCTAATCTGCTACTTCTACAATGGAAATTATATTCTCTACAATTGAACAAGAGATGCTGAGTAACAAGATAATTAAAAAAATATCCCAGAATGATACTAATGGAGAAATTGCATTTCCTAAATTAGTGTCAGCACAGTGGTGACAGAAAGCAAACCAGAGTATTTGGTTTTGTGTGGACTTAGGGAAACCAAAGCCATTTGGATTGACAGTTAACCATTTACAGATACTGCTGTCATAGTTGTAGTGTATTTTATACTCTTGATTTAAAGAATGTCTATTTTCAAGTATCCAGACAGTTTGAGTTTCATAGCATTTATTACACTTAATGGAACTGTTCTCTTTTAATCATACGCCATATGGACCCGAATCAACATCCAGAGCTTTTCAAATATTAATATTAATAATTCTTAATAACAAGCTCAGAATCTAATATTATCTGAGTGATGTTACTGTATTTGGAAAGTCTTCTGAAGCTGATGAAAAAAACAAACCCTACAGGCTATACTTGAACATGTCAATACAGGAGGGTGAAAGTTAAATTTTGCTAAATACTAAATCAGATGAACAGAATAGTCTTTTCTTGAGCACGCCATCTCTTCTTTGGGATTGGAAAAAGTCATAGAATATGAAGAAGAGCTCACTCTTCCCAGAAAAAAAAAAGAAAAAAGAAGAATCACAGCCATATTTTTCAGGTCTCAAATCAAGGTGTACATTATTTATGTACACCTAAATTATGTACATTTATTTCTAACTGTGCAGTACCTGCAGAACTATTAATAACAGTGCACTGTAATATCTAAAATTTACCTGAGACGTATCTCACCATAGCAAATTTTAAAACAATGAAAGGTTTGATTGACTGTGAATACACAGAATCTATTCTGTTGGCTTTAGAGTTCACCTCAATTGTCATTTCTTTAGTCTCAGACCGGGAATGACCAAATACTCTCGATGTAGGATTACTTAATTTTCTCCCTCCTAGCCCTCCAGCAGCCAGATAAACACTCAGGTCTTTTTTATGGTGTTGCAGCTGATCTAATAAACTTGGTTGCAGCTAACCTGAGGTCCACTTTGCCCTCCCAACAGATGAGCAGTGATACCCCCAGCACGGAGAGCTTACCTTCCAAACTACCTCCAGGCAGCACTTCCGTCAGCCACGCTGGCTGACTACACATATGAGGCCACCCTTACCCAAATCCATGGGGACAATTTCTATGAGAAGACCTTTGAAACATGAACATGTCTTTGAAACATGAACAGTTTACAAGATGCCATAAAAATGTTGGAAAGAAAATATTTCTGTTGTGCATTCACAACAGAAGAGTAGGGAACCTGCCTCTGAGGCATTGCACTCCAACTGCATACAGATCACACCTCCTGGCAGTTCTGTAAACCTCAGAGGAGCAGGAACTGTCTGCAGATAGCTCACAAGATTACTTTCAGTTTTATATGACACAGTTTAGTCAAATCAAAACCACAGCAGCTGATAGCTTATCTCATCTGCTCTTCTTTAGATGCTTATCTAGATGATTATATGGAAGTTGCTGCATGGTTTATAAATATGCAATTACAGGAGAAAAATTTGAAACTGTTTACTTGCAGTGTCTGATTTAATAGAAATTACATATCTTCCTATCTAGAAAGTGATTCAGGATTTCCAGATGCGTGGATGCTGTCCTAATACCATATTTCAGCCTTCAGAATGAACTTCACCCACGAGACAGATATGTAATGAAATATCACTTCAAGTTATATGGAATTTCAAGGAGTTGTAAAGACGTACTAGAGGAATTTCAAGCAAAATTTGTACAACATGCTCATGGTAAGTCTCAAGTTGTCACAATAAACCAACAGTTACAGGACAAGTACTCATGGCCAGAACTTGATATGAAGGGCTGAAGCTTAATACTTAAAATTAAGACAAGTTACTCATGCAATACCATTACAGCCTACCCCTTGCATTATTTTTTTCTGTGCATGACTGATACCACAGCCCCTTTGGGCAGTTATTTCATCTATCTAGCTATCTCTCTGTAGTAGACAATCATAAAATGACCAAACAGAGTGTTTATAATTGCTTCCTTCTCTGTTTTTGGCCAAAAATGAAAGGTGTAAGAATTAGTACAATTTAACTTCTTACGATGAGTAATTTTTTTTTCTGAAAATGTGTATGAACAGACATCATCAAGTTATGGTGAAGCTGATGAAGAACTGGAATTTTAAGGAGAATTTTAAAAGAAACTTAAAGGCTAATCTAAAAAAAAAAAAAGAAACAACCTAAAAAGCTTGGAAGACCTTCTCAATAGACTAATTACAGGTTTAAGGAGTATCCTGCCATGTACTCACATAAATAATTTCCTGAACTAATGCCTGGAGTTACACACATTGAGCTAAATGTTGCTAGGTTGAGGATCTCTAAATCTACTGTAGTAACACAATCAGATGCAAAACACACAGTCCAACAGCAAGAAGAGTAATAAAGATCATTGTTGTACTACAGATCTGCAATTCAAATTTGACTTTGTAAGTGCAAACCTCTGGAATCCTGCAAAAAGGGGAGTCTGAGTTTAGGTTGTCTCTCAAGATTTTTAGGGGTAAAGCATACATAAATTTAAGCTATCTTTGGGATAAGTGCACACCTGCTTGCACCTGCTTGCCAAGGGCAACTTAGAAATATTTTTAATTGTTTGTGTGTAATAGATTGCTTTTTCTTAACTTATCTGCATTATAAGACAAATGAACAAGTCACTCTTGTGTGACTTCTGTAGTCTTCTTCTACTTGCAGGTAACTATCTGCACGGATCAGAAACTTTTAGACAATAACAAAAAACAGCAGAGAAATAAAATATTAGTTTATTAGCACCACATTCTTAAGAAGGACAATATGGTTGATGCAGTATTGGTGCAAAATGGCAGAGGGTATTTCTCAGATGCGCTGATGTGAAAAAGCAACTTCAGTTTGGGGAATCTTTTTTTGTGCTTAGTCAAGGCTCTTGCTGCAGATATGGTGGAGGGTCTTCTCCTTTGCTGCTCCTTTATGGCTGTGAAAAGACCATCAGTTATCCCACACATATCATGTGATGCTTTAGTACAGGTCAATAAACAACTCTGGTCTAGGTGTATTGCATTACATTTCTTTATTGGAGCTGTGCCAGTTCTGAGGAAGAATAACCATCTTCTCTCCCGAACTTAGAAGAGGAATCTGTGCATTCTTGGAGCAAAGAAGGACACTGAGGTGCTGGAGCATGTCCAGAGAAGGGCAACAAGGCTCATGAAGGGTCTAGAGATTAAATCATATGAGGAGCAGCTGAGGGAGTTGGAGTTGTTTAACCTGGAGGAAAGGAGGCAAGGTTGACATCGGTCTCTTCTCCCAGTCAACTAGTGACAAGAGAGCATAGCCTCAGGCTGCACCAAAGGAGATTCAGTTTGGACATTAAGAAGAATTTCTTCATGGAAAGGGTTTTCAAGCATTGCAGTGGACTGCCCAGGTGGAGTTACTCTCCCTGGAGGTGTTCAAGAAATTACTGGACATGGCACTTAGTGCTGTGGTTTAGTTGGCATGGAGGTGTTCAATCAGATGTTGACTCAATGATCTTGGAGATCTTTTCCAATCTTAATGATTCTGTTATTCTGTAATTCTGCTGATCAGGGCCCCAGCTCTGCAAGACACCCCATTCACACCAGTACTTGCAGCATTGGTGCCATTTTACATATTGTCTTATATTAGCTATTTGAGCCTAAAAATAATAGAAGCCAAATAAAAACCAAGTAACATAGTTATTCAAATGACAGTATTTTCTTATTATCTGTAGAAATGTCTATGTTGTAATTTTGGGCAAAGATTGGTCTTTGGGAGTGTGAATGTAGTGGGATAACCACATCAAACATTAGTTTGTAGGCATCTCAACAAAAACAGTATATATGTATGTGTGTGTGTGTGTGTGTATATATATGTTAAAGCTATGCACATTTGACTTATATACTCTTTTTAAACTGTTAATACATAACCAGTTTAAAAATTCTATGAATATCACACAAGAAAGCAATAGTCTTAATTAAAAACATGCTAGTCAGAACAATGAGGTTAAAAATTTTAATGTCAGAGTTTTTGGTGCTTGATTTCTTCAATCATTTTTCTTTTTTCATTCTCAGCTACTCTCTGTTATATATCTCAGATAAACTTATGCTCATGCTAGGACAATTCTATTCCTGTGAACCATCCATTTTCTATATTCCAGCCATTCAACCACAGATCACTTAGACTTTTAAGAAATAAAGAAAATTGATATTTGATACTACCTTTTACCTTTTGTAAGAAAAAATTTCCCATTATAGTTAAGAAGTAAAACTTTCATTTCTATTCGTTTATACAGTTCATCATGCTCATTATAGGCTACAAAACTAAGTCAAAATATACTATCAATACTGAACATATGACACATCAGAGTTTAATTGGCATGTATTGTCCCAGCCAATGATATTTCAGTTTAAAGCAAGATGAAGTGTGAAGCCCTGACTATTCCCAGTTCTATACATTTTTCAATTTGAGATATGTGAGTAGCCCACTGAAGTTCATGAGATTAGTTGTGTTAAGAAAACATTTAAACATTAGTAGAACCAGGCTTACAACATGGCAGCAGGTGATACATATACTGGAAACTATTTGGCTGGATTGCAGAGAGCACATAGAGGGGATGCATACCTATGATGTCTGGATCTGCTGTTTCTTTGTAAATTATTAAAAAATCAAAAGTGAATGTAGCACTTTTCTAGTAACAGGTCATGTAGTAAGATAGTGGGATAACATATAGAAATTAATTTTTGAACTTTCTAACCTCCAGATATTTTTTTAAGCATCCTTTTAAATATGTGAGTTTATAAGGTAAGAAAGTTAATTTTAAGTAACCATTTAAAAACTAATTAAACACAGACACAGATGATTTTCTTTGTTTTTTGGAAGGATTTGTACCTGTGGATGTTCACTGTCAGTACTGCTAGTTAACTACATAAATACACTGGGTTTTATATGGCCCTTGTGAAGTTTATGGGTTGGAAACACTTTCAATAAATTATGACAAGTTACTGGAAGGCTAATTTGGAAAATTTAAGGATTTGCATGGCAGATGACTCCTCTTTTCAGAGCCTGAGGCTAGGACAGGGACAGGAAGTAAAGGTTACAAGGCAGACTATAAGTAAGCATGCAATTTATAATAAAGGTTTGTGGACTGTGAGCTTTTTAGATCAATCACTTCAAATGGCTGGCTTTTAGGTTAGACTGAATAATTATAAGGGGGGAAACCTGTAAGGGAGTTATTTGGGGAAATAAAAGAATCTAACACAGTTTTAACAGGAAAGTATCATCTCTGATAACTGCCTTTATATCTGACTAGGTTGGTCTACTCAATTTGCATTTAAGAGACGATTAAAATAACCTTATAATTTGCTGCATTCATCCTGCTGCAACTTCTGAAAAAGGAAAGAAAATAGTTATGCATAATTACTGAAAATAGTTGCAAAAGAATAGTACTCTACATGCACAGCATGTACCCTGCCTTTATGAAGGCCAGCCATTTACATACCAAAAACAAAAGAATTTTTATACAAAAAGGAGAAGTTGCCTTTATTTGATCAAAAAGGTCTAAATTGATTATTTATAAAAATCAAGGTAACTGGTAAAAGGAGCAAATTACAAGCAGTTTTTCAGAGCGTATGACAATGTCTTTTATTAATAAGCATTGTTGAAATGAAAACATCACTTACACCAATGCAGTTATATTTCAGGTAGCTAAATTGGAGTGTTACAGCTCAGCAGCAAAAGGCCAACTGTAAAACTTCCTTAAACAAAACACAGCATATGCTGGCTTAATTCTTAGATGGAAATTTGCCACTGAGGAAGAGGCCAGCTCACAGCCTATACAAAATTTACATGGCATGCTGCATGACAGTATACGTT